ACTCTCGATGTCCTCTAGTACAGAGATATATATTTCATTGCTTGGTCTTCATCTGTAGCGAACTAATTACCCGTAAAGCGCAGCGATTAATCATCGGATCGCGTGGTCGGTTAATTAATTAGCGAGCTCGGGAAGGTCGAGTTGGAAGTTGAATTATGGACTCCTTTCGTCGAACTTTTTCTCGCGTCGGGACTGAGGACTTTTAAAAGAGGGTGTCCGGGCGGCCATAAAGACAGATTTATGTCTCGTCTCCACGAAGGACAAGGCGAAGAAAAAAAGTCGCGGTTCGACGGTATTAAGGAACGTCGAAATTTCGGATAGAGCAAGGGCGAACAGTCTAAACATTCTGGGATTCGTCATCCTCAGGGACGTCTTGTCCCCTTCACTATCCTCGATCGTTTAGTGATCTCGATCATCGTTGGGGAAACAAAGAAGGTTAATTATTATACTGTGGATTTTCATACAAAATAAGTTTTACCCAATTGTCTTTTTGAATCTTTGAACTTATTAACCCTTTTCTTAAATTCGTGAGACCATTTTCTAATTGTGAGGAAGAACAGGAGCTTCTCGAACGACTTTTGGAATAGCTTTTTGGTGCTACTTAAAATGTTTTATGTCTAAAATGTCTAACACCGAATTTGCTCTCAGAAGAATAAAATTAGTGATCTCGATCATCGTTGAAAAGCAAAGAAGGTTATTTATGTGGATTTTCATGCAAAATAAAACATTTATAAATCTAATAATGTGATTTAGAAAGCATGAAATTTCTGATACTTTAAATACTTTAGTGCATCACATATATCTTTTATATTTTCATGTTTCTACTTTCTTATCCAATTGTCAAATCTATCATGTCTTTTTGAATTCTTGACATTCACTCTTTATATTTTCTACACATTAAATTTCTGTCTACTTATCCAATTGTCTACCATAGCTTCTTGAATCATTGAACCCATTAACCCTTTCCTTAAATACGTGAGGCCATCTTCTAATTGCGAGAGAGAAAAGGAATTTCCGGAAGGGATGTTAGAACTGGGTTAGTTTATGGCGTTACTTAAACTGTTTAACGTCGAAAAATGTCCAACAACGTGTGCGCTCTCAAGGAGAATAAAATTACGCCCTCGGACACGTGCTCGGCTCCTTCCCGTCGAAAAGGCCTAAACAAAAATTTACAATGAGAATTTAACGACACGCTGACGCGAGAGAGAGCAATTCGTTGATTCGGCTAATTCCCGTTATAGCCAACCTTGCCCCGGATCGTGGCTCGGCTCCTCCGAGCTAATTTGTATAATTGTTTTTAACAATACCACCACGGGAACCTACATAGCCGGAGGCTCGACCCTATCCAAACAATATGTTCATTAGCATAAATGGATTTGTACAACAAATGTTCCTCTGATGTATATGAAACACTTGCTCAGTCGCTTGAGTCACAGTACACGAGTTTCGTTTATGTTTAACGTTAATTATCAGTACCTTGCAAACAATCAGATTTCTGAACCAATTAAATATATAATACAGCTTTGAAAAGTTCCAAGTGTTTCATTTGTCATAAAGCAGAAGAGACTGTGTAAAAGATAATAATAATTGGACTATGTATAGTGTATGTTAGACTGCGAAGATTTTTCAAACGTGTGAGTGGATTCCGTTTCCGTCGACGACTTTCTCGCTGGGAGATCTGTCTTGCAAAAGAGGTTTGCGCCAGAGAAATGTTAATTTGCTTGAACCGAGCCGATAAGCCGAGATCTCCGCGGTACCAAAGCGATAACTGTAAAACACGGATTAACCTTGATCCTTCCACGCGTGTCTCGTTCCGACGATCTCCGCGAGGAAAGGTCGGCCATGAGTAAAAGAGATGAATGGGAAAACGGAAAGAAACAGATGAACGTGAAAGGAACAGAATTGGCTATTAACGTCCGTTTGTTGATTCATACTGTAAAAAAATGAATCGACAAAACAGTCCGAGATAACTTCGATCGTAGCTACGGGCATAGATAAGGGATGTTAGCAGCAAACGTTCGATAAAAGTTGCTATATTTATATAATCGTGTTAGCTAAAAATTGCAACTTTCGACATCCACGTCGACTAATCGTAAATATTAAAATAACCAACAAGTAATTCCGTTTTTAGTAAAGATTCGATATTCAAATCCATGCAAGACGTATTTTAACTCAATAATTTTTGTCGTTTCTGATAATGAAGATAAGTAAAAAAAATAGAAATTTTGAAGCGTATCGTTTACTGAAGAACGGATTGACTAACGTATATGTAGATTGTAAACAAAAGGCGTCGCATTGGATAATGGATGTGCATAATTTATTGCAGTCATTGTATCTATGCAAATCTTTCTAATAAGCCGTGAATCCTTCCACGGAAGGACGGACAGTGAAAAAAAAGGTGCAGAACCGTAACGAGGGAATTGGGTCAATGGCAGATGGATATCATAAGGAAACTTATCAGAATTTTATGCAAAATGAAATCTAGATAGAAGTTTCCCTTAAAAAAACAACAATATGCATGTCACTTAGTCAATACATAAATAATATAATTAATAATATGGATATCACTGCATGTTCCTAGATATTATAGGAACGTTTTTGGATATAATGAAAATTTTCCAAATCATCTGTAAATACAATTTTATTTCACAAATGAATATAAAATCTATGTATATGTATAGTGCATAAAGTCTACTTATCATAAGGAGAGTGGAAACCAGTGGAGATGTTCGATAGTCAGGAAATGTCTTGTCGCAATCGTGAACCCTCGAGAGTACGGCTCGTTGCGACGGCATTCTTGTCCTCGCCGCTTCTGGTATTTGAATCGCAAATGGAACGACCGCTTTGCTCGGGTTAGACCGCCGCGTCGCGGGTTTCTGTGTCAAGGATACGGACTTTCGGTTAGAAAACCAGAGCCGGTTCGTCTTCTATGATGAGCCGAAATTCCCACCCCGTCCCTCACTCAGGAGCCACCGAGTTACGACCTCGTCCAGTTCTCATTTTATTATCGAAGAAATGTCAAAGTAGAAAAGTGAAGTCGGATGAATTCGATGTTATTCCGATAGATTTTCCATTTTTCCATTTACTGAGTTTTCTATTATACTCCTAAAGTATTATAAAAAAAAATCTGTCGAAATTTCACAATTAAAAATGCAAGGAATTAGATAAAAAGCAAAGCAAGTTTATAAATTAGTCTGAATTCCATTCTGTTCCTCACACAGGAGGCACCGAATTACATGTTCGTCCAGTCTTCATTTTATTATTAAAGTACAAAATGATGAAGTGCAAGAGTGAAGTTGAATGAATTTAATGTTATTTGAATAGGTTTTCCATCTTTCCATTTATTAAGCTTCTTACTGTATTGGCGAAATATTTTAAAAACAATTTGTATCTGTCGAAATTCCACAATTAAAAATACAAGGAATTAGATAAGAAGCAAAGCACGTTTTTAAAGTAGTAAGACTGTTGGCGATAAAAAGTTGGCGATAAAAAAGTTCCTTGTTTGGCATTTCAAGTACTCATCAAGAAATAATTTACAGTTTGATAAGCGTTCGAACGAGAATTCAAATCAATGGGAACGTGCATACGTGTGTCATGTCAAACGTTCTTGTCAGCGAAAGAAGCCTGTCGGACGATTCGTCAGCGTTACGATGATAGCTTGATTTCGCGGCCGCTCGGTCAGATAGAAGGTAACGTTTAACGGTGAACTTTTGCAAGGTTTCCGCTCCTTGACTCGGTCCTTGCTTACCGAACGCGTTCTGACCGTTCCCGATAACCCATTTCTCAATAAGAAATTATCGCGGATGAAAAAAGAACCTCGTGGACGGATAATGCTTGAAAAAATTCCGTTCAGAATATTCAGAGCGGATAAACGAGGCGCCAAGGCATTCACTGTGTACTTGACACTCGTTGGCAGAGCTCTGACAAAACTTAATCCAAGAAAAAATGAAATGTAGGAACGTATACAGCNTAATAGTAATGGTAGTAGTAATATATTTATTGATTCTCTCACGAGGTTACAAGTAATTATATAATTAATTATGCAAACGAATTGTGGAATTAATTACGGTCACAGTTTAATAGCTTCCCGTGCTTTCAATGCAAGTTATTAGATGTCCACTAATGTGTAAAGATGAAATTTCTCCATGATATTCAAGGCCTCCAAGTAGTTCGAATCTGAAGGTTGCTCGTTTAATGTTGTTCGCGATCGAACGATTCCAAAGCCGGAAGTAATTAACTCGGTTTTTTAATGACGCACGCACCTTCACGCACGTGTGCAATGATATCGACCAAGGCGAATACTAGAGAGAACTGAAACAGAGTTAATAAACTTCTCATGTAACCGATGTAGATTAGGCTCGTGTCGTTTAGTAGATTATCAATATATTAACAATTGTATCAGTTTGCCAATGAAACACAATAAAATTGGATGTGGAAGATAATATATACAGGCCTCTGATAAAAGAGACAACTTCAAGGTTTGGACTTGATTGAGAATGCCAATTCATCTTCCTTTAGCAATTAATATCTTCAATATCTTAAAACAATGATTAGACTCTAAACTTTGAATGGAATGGAATCATTGAACAATAGGAAACAGGATTGGTGTGTAACAAATCAACATTGGTACCAGCGAGCTTTTACATTTTTCTCTATACATACACAGCATACAACCTAATCATAATACAAATAATTACATAGAAATAAAAATTAGACTAAGAATATGAATAGAAATTTTGAAAAGAATAGTTTATTGGATTTATATTTTATTATTTTTTGTACTATTATCATTTTTAATTTTACAAATGTAAAGAAGATACAAAATCATTTCAGAAGTAGAATTACAGATTTTACTTGCAGGAGTCCAATATTAATTAACGTGATGTCTGGGCTTGTGACTTATTGATGCAATTTCTTTAATATTTCGTATAAGATTCATTAAATNTTTGAACTCTTTTTATTTGATTCTAATTCCATCTAGTTTTGCTTAAAAATAGTCCAAAAGATGAAGGTTGAATTCGCTAGACTGGCTTCATCGAAATAAATGATGACAGGATTATTTCTCTTCTTCTTTATCGAACAATTTGATTCAATTTGAAACTTGGAATTTTTAACAAATTCTGAGAAAGCAACAGTTAATTTATTTTAAATCAATTTGGAGAACAGGAAATAGAATTGCTGAAATTATTTAAATCGCATTCTATTCGATTCTAATTCCATCTGATTCCGCCGCAGTGTTTCGCTGACTGTAGGCTCGGTTTGCAATAACGTCATCAAGCTTGAAAACGATCCGGCGAATAAAAATATATTGAGGAACGCACGAAACCCGAGTTAATTAAACGCGAGTCGCGAGATGACCATAGAGAACCGAGGCTCGTATTATAGGTCGATTAAGAGTCAGCTTCGAGCCGAGCTCAGCACGATGATACTTTTCAAGTAACCTTGCCGTCATTATCTAACCAGGAAACGTCCTATTGACTAATATTGTTTGCGATACCATTATTATATCATCGCCGAGGTGGTCATTATTGCGCAACGTCTTACACGCAGATCCTAACAGAAGATTCCAGTTTCGGCTCACCTTTGATAACAATCAAGAGTAATATCGCAAACATTACAAAATGAATAAACTGTCTTAGAGAATGATTGAGCCTGAATCTCTAGTTTGATATTTAAGTCACTGTACAATAATCGAATATGCAGCAATGTTTATAAAAAATTAGTGGGGGTTTCAACTTTAAAGAAAAAGAATTTAGAAATTGTTTTAAAAAATGATTGAGTTAGAATCTGCAGTTTCATGTACGAGTGTACAAGTTACATAAGAATCGAATATATAAAGTATTTAAAAAAGACAGGAAAGATTTTATAAATATTATAACAAAAATTGAGTCAGGTGTCTATCGCGCATTAACAGCTATTGGTACGTCCGGGCCATTTACCACTAACCCGCGCGCGCCCCACTCCGTCGATCGGCAGTGGGTGATTTCCGCTTTTCCATCGGTCCCGTTGAATGCCAAGAACGCCGCGTTCGTTCGATCTCGCGCGCGGATTGCCCGTGACCCCGGCTGCACTTTCCGCGCTCAACCCCCGGCGGCCGCCGCGCGCGGGGAAGGAAAATTACGATCTCGCCTCACCTTCGCCTCGCCACGGTTCGGTTCGGTTCGCTCGCCGGCAATGCCAGCCAACGACCTTGGCCTTGCCCGAATAAGACTCGGCCTTGGCTGCTGGCGGACGATCGATGCGCGACCGTCACCGCCAGCCGCTGCGATGCAACACGCTCGTAGTGCTGCAGCCAAGCCGGGGGAACTGGATACGTATTGTAAGCAACTAAGTACGCGAACGGACTCTGTTCTCGTTCTCACGTGTTCCCGGTTTAGACGCATCGCGTGCGTCGCCGTTCGACCGACGACGACGACGACGTTGCGGTCGCATCACGAAATCCGTGTCACGCGTCCCGACGCAACGGTGCTGGGGTCTTCTGGTTTTAGAGATCCACGCCCCGCGTCCACACGATTTCGTCGCTTTGTGCAAGCTCCCTACGTGACTCATCGCGCGTCGCTGGCATCGCACCTCGCGAATTCGCTGCCAACAGTATCCTCTTCTTAACAAAACGATCTAATAGGTAGATGAATACTGGCACAAGGTCTTAAATAATATACACTACAGGAATATAAGGATACATTTATTCAATAAAACACAAAAGATTTCTTAAGGATGTATTGGCTATACAGTCAATCTCAAAAGTTTATGTACTTTAGAAAAA